CAATCTTTACACCTTTTCAAAATTATTAACCAAAAAATGAGTATTTCCTCAATATTTGATAAGAAAGCAATATTTTCCAGATAGCAGGGGTTGCAGTTGGAAAGTTTTTAAACAATGTTATAAAACAAAAATTTACGACCCCGGACAAGATTCACGTGGTCGGTTACAGCATGGGGGCTCAAGTATCTGGGTACTTAGCTAGGGAAGTCAAAGCAGAACATGGATTGATAAACTTCATTATGGGTAAGTGAAACTTAATGGTTCTTACGCTGCTCGTCAGGAAAGCTCTTAATTGATTTTTTTATCCAAGTTAGGTGTACTGCAAACTCACTGGCGCAGTACTTTTAAGTGGCACTCGCCCCTACCAACGACATGTCTGACATGAAAGCTCAGTTGGTGTTGTACTGACGAGTGTAGCACTGAGGACTTTTTACATGTGCAGCCTGCAGGTTCAATTTCCATATGTGTGCAATCCATAAGCTTCCTAATGTCTGGCTTAGTCGGTGGAAGAGCCTGCCTTAAACAACCAATGTCCGGCTTGGTTGGAAGTTGACAATATTAGTGAGTTTAATAGAGATCACTAACAACACCTGGCTTACTCCTTTTTACTCTAGCGTACAAAATTATATCAATAATGGAATTTAATTCCAGAGTGTGGTAAGGAGCCATCCAATACAATAAATACATTACGCACCGTAAAACTTAGAAAGGTTTTTTATATTGAAATTTATGGTTGGTTTATGTAAAAGTTCATTCTGTAATTTCATAGAAAATGTCTTATTGATTCAGTGATGGTGTTTTCATATAGTACCTACCTAATCTTTCAACCATGACATTTTCCAAGGGGGTCCATGCAGAGAAAAAATTCCCTCCCATCAAATGTTAGTAAGAAAATCCTTAAACATATTTTTGATTGTATAGCATCAGCATTATTGCAGAAAATGTTTAAATTTTTTTCTCCACATATATTTTTGATAATTTTTTACAAAAACAGCATGCAAAAGTAATACAATTATCAATCAATTATCAAACATTGAGATGGGGACCTTACCTATGCACATATTTTAACCCAAAACGAGTGAAGGATCGAAGGATGAATGTAGAATGATGATCTGTGTAGCTTTGTTACTGACTAAGATCAGCTGTTTCATTAGTCAGGATAATTTATTAAAAGTTATGATCAGGAACAGCTGGACTCAGTTTCAAAACATCAAAAAGGTTCTGATTTTTCTCAGGATCAATTTGGTAACCTTTTGATTGCTACGCAAACCGTATAACCACTCAGCTACCCAGTCAGTCAACACACTGTGCATTTTGATATGTTGCCATAGGACTAGACCCAGCTGGTATTGGCTTCACCCCGTCCACTTTCGCCTCGTGGTACACCGGACTGACGCACGTGACGGCAGACGACGCAAAATATGTCCACTTCGTGCACTGCAACTCCATCGGCTGGGGAACACTTCACTACCAAGCCACGGCAAACTTTGTCTTCAACGGAGGGAATTTCCAGCCTGGGTGTGCCACCAGTAAAAGTTGGTAGCAATGTTTTTTTAATATATAAACGTCTTGATCCCCTTATTGTTAATACGAGGGTTATTCAGAAAGAAGGAGCATTTGTGTCTAACGTTAGGCATGCACCCATTGTGAGTTTTCAAGTACAGGTGTGTTCGTCTCCTCTGTAAGTCCAGCTCTCACAGTAGTGAGTGTTGTTGCCCATTTTTTGCGATGTTACAAATTTGCAATTGAAAATCTTGCTAGTTGGGAGGTGTGTGCGTGCGTCTTTACGAATTTTGAAGCCAAAAACGTAAAACCTACAGAAATTTTTCAGACTGCTTGTCCTGGACTCCCTGGTGTGGCTGAGATTGCAGACGACGGAATTCTTCGACAAAGGAATTTCAGAGCTAGTTTACCATGCATGCTATCTCCAAAATATTTATGACTAAAAATTCATCTAGAACAATTTCTTACACGTTCTTTCAACCAACGTTTGAAGGTAACATTATATTATTTATTAATAACTGACGTTCCAGTAGTAGGAATGAATTCTAATTTCTAACAACCTACGTTCATTCAATCCACAATTATGCCATAGGGCGACTAGTTCGAACTAGGGAGCATCACTAGTAGCCATCTCCTAATAAATCATAACTAATATTTATTACTCATACAAGTGTAAAGTGCTTTATAATTATCAGTTAGACTCTGGTTTGTTTAGATCTCGGATGCAGCCACAACAGAGTGCCGTTCTACTTCATTGACAGTGTTTTGTACCCAGAAAACTTTGTAGCTAAGAAATGTGATTCGTGGAAAAGTTTCACCTCCTGTCAATGTGAATCTGAAGAAACGGTGTTCGTGACCTTCCCACCTGTCTTGGGGTATGTTTAGAATATTAAACATCACTTATCAAATGTAGTTTTAATTTTTCTGCATATTGATTCAAACGATACATTATAAATATAATCAACTCATCTTTTATATAAGAATATATTTTTAAAGGCTATAAAATAGTCTAGTTTGTCTACTATGCAGAGTATATATGACATGTTCTGCTACCTGGAGGCCAAGTTTAGAACTAGACTACTAAGCTTTGGCTTCTGTTTGGCAGGGGATTTTAGAGCGAGCGCTAGACAGTAATGTTAAATCAAAAGTGTAAGGTGCTGTCTTCCAGGCTAGGAGACAAAACTATGGATTAAGGGTACAAATGATCACCAACCCCCCACTGGCCCTGGTTGAAGTCAGGTCTGGTGTACACCTCGGTGGCGGCGATAAGAATAAGAAGTACCCGCGGGCCATCTTCAACTCTTCTCTTAATAATCTTTAAAAACATTATCACAGGTCCCCCTAAACTTGCACTTTTGCTTTTTGCAACTTCCGAGGCACCGAGTTGCCATCATTGTCTTCTAATGATCGCAAAAAAATTATGAATACTTCTCACAGTCACGGAAACATTATTATAGTCTACTGTGATTTCAAAAAACCTAGGGCATCATCAGATAACAACATCATGGTCTCCCGCGATAGCGGCCCAATCTCTAATATTTCCCGAGTTGACGGAAACATATTATTTTTCTACAATCACAGCAAAATCCCAATTAAATGTACTGCGGAAAAAGAAATGTCATCATCGTCTTCTGTAGTAGAGTTCAAATCTTAAATGTCTTGCACAATCACGGAAACATTCAAATCGTCTTCCACTATCGTGTAGCAAAATCCTGAAAGCCTCCTGCGGTCCTGAGGACATCATTATCGTCTTTGGCAATAGCGGCATAACATCTCCCACAGCCAAGCAGACATCATCACCTGCGGGGAAATGTTCTCGCCAACATCCGCGATCGCGGCAAAAGCGTTAATCCTAATAAAAAACTTATGGTAATACTCATATAAATACTGTTATGTTGTGATGGTGTCTGTGTGCTAGTGAAATCTTCCTAAACTTACGGTCAAGACTATTCCCCCCCAGCACCAGAGGCCCTGCAGGCCCGCTATTGCCCCCACTGATTCACCCGTGGCAGAGTTTAGTGGGGAATTAAGGGTGAAAGGTGAAGGGATGTTTGGATGGGTGTTTTCTTTGAGAGTCACACCTGAAGTCAGACATTCTTGTGAAAGGCTATTAAAAACTTGTTTGAAATTATTGATTCTTTTGGGTTCATAAAGATGAGGGAAATGACTGATAACAATATGAATTGTGAAATCACAAAATAATTTATGAAGTTTAAAAGGTCGGAATGGTTTGTTAAAAACTAAAAACCCCTTATGTTTCAGAGCTAAAGGAACTTATCAATTAAAGACAAATTCAGAAACACCGTTTGGACTTTCAGAAGCCGGTGTCAAATGTGAAAAGGACACCACAGTGTTGGAAGTATCTAAATTTGTGAAATCACTTCAAGAAAACAATAAGAAAATCAGAAAGCAGGGCTTGAAACTAAATGGAAAATATGTCAAAACGTCAAGCAGAAAAGTTCACAAGACGGCAAAATCTCCAATATCATTTCGTCATAGGACTGTAGACAAATATATTAAATTACATCCGAAAAAACCAGCGACATCAAGAAGTAGTAAAAATAAAGTTAAACGCAGTGCTAAACTTAAGAAGCAATCAAAGACACATGATATATCCATGCATGATATGGTGGAACATATGCATCACAACGTAGTTGATAAATGATTTCTAATACCCATCTTGTGAAATTATCCATAGAAATTTGTTTATTTTATATCTAAATTTTACCGTTGCTTCTATTCTTGCAATCTTCAAAAAGATTTTAAATTTTAAATGATAATACGAAAAGAAAATTTGTGATGATAAGAATTTAAGAAACACATAGGCTACCGGTATATACACTTTTGTTGATTAGTAAAAATATGGAATTTTCAAAGGGGTCGGCGGCTTTTTATTAACCTTGTATTTTTCTATCCATACTTGCAATATCTGGTCTTTGCATGGAAGGCATCAAGCAAAAGCTAACCAAGGGATGAACTGGTATGTTACGAGAATAAACTGTGTTGAAAAATTTATTTCAGTTGTCAACTTCTGCTGAAGACTGTCACATTTAAAAAACTAACAAAAAAATCACATAAATTTTCAAATCAGCTGATTTTGCAAAATTGAATCAGGCTAAGTTGAGCTTAGACTGAGTTCAATTCAGTATCAAAATTAGTTGCTTAATGCAGTTTAAGCGATTAACACATAAACAAGTAGCTACCCTTTGGATGTTAAATTAATGATCCAGAGGTTATAGAACTACCATTGACTATACACCACAAGTGTAATTTAATTTTCAATCTGCTAGGTGCGCAGGGAGATTTCCTGGCCTCAACTGCTACCATGAACTCGGGAATTCTATTCATGGTAGGCCTATATAGTCAATGGTACTAATAATGAAGTTGACCAAGCTACACTATATCAGTACAGAGCTTTATACATAGGAACAATGATGATTTTGGCATGCTAAGAGAAATAAATGAAAATTTGAATGCAGAGAACCTTATTTATTCGCTTATGACGCATCATACACCCTGGTAAACTGATCAGCCCATTCAAAAGCCAGATCAAAAATGGACAAGGGACACTTTTCTTTGTACTTGGAGCATTTCTTCTCGTCTATATGGTACTCTTCCAGTATGCCTGTTGTTTCATTCGTGGGTATCCTAGAAAAGGTTTTTTTACAAAATGAAAAATATAATACTATAAAAGTTTAGAACAGCAACCAACTACTTTTTACCATTGAAGTCAAAAATTATAAGGTTTGTCTGCTTGATTTATATCTAAATTTTAATAAGTCAGGATCATAAATGAAACATATTTCCAAATTTGTAAGCCTTGTCAAACAACTAAACTATGAAACTGTAAGCTTAGCATTTATGTTATAATAGAAGAAGTCTGTACTTTCAGTAAGTCTAATTCCTAAATCCTAACTTTTCATCAAAGTATCATATATATATAATATCTTAAGTCAATTATTGTTTTGGAATCGTGATAAATATTTCACTCATGATAAGATTCAAGGATGAAGGGATCCATAATGTACTTACGAAAATATAACATTCAGTAAATCCTGTATCAAGTTTTCTTCCGATGTTTTTGGCATGGTTCTAGTGTCGCATAATGCCTTAAGCAAGCAGGCTCTCCCATCATGACCTTGCCTTGAAAACCACACCAAAAGAACTCATTAAATTATATAAAACAAAAGAAACACAATTCTACATGATTAGAGTATATTTCTGTGTTGAAAATTGACTCAAGTAGTCTTAAGATGGTCACTTTATAAAGTAGTGAGTAATTTTACTAGTTCTAAAATTTGTAAAAAGCAAAAATTGTCGCATTAAAACTATTTACATCACTGAAGAATCTAATTTTGATCAAGAAAAGAGATTATGGTAAAGAGAAGCCATATTTTTATGTTTGGTGAAATAATTGGTGATATTCACCATGTTTGTCCCTGCCTTTACACACTTCATGCACCCCGGACACTTCTCCTACTGATCAAAAACTGCCACCTTAAGGTCTTTTCGACAAGACTAATACGAGCCGTCTTCGACAGGGCCATCTTCTGTACTGATGTACCTTATGAAGACCGTCTACAACAGGGCCGTCCCTAGGGTTGGCGGCGCCCGGAGCAAACGTGGTCGTGGCGCCCCCTCCCCCTCAGCAGTAATAGTCGTATTCGCATATTTCAATACTATGTTAATACAAATAGGCGCTGTGCGTCGCCCCCTCAGCCACGGCGCCCGGGGCAGCTTGTCCCGGTTGCCCCCCCCCCCCTTCGGATGGCCCTGGTCAAAACCTATAATGCACTACACTACGCTGCGCTCTCTGTGTATTTTGGACTACTCTGCGCTCTGTTACGCTGAGCTGCGTTGCGCTACACTACGCTGTCTGTATGTTTCTACACTTAGCTACACAGCCAGTTTTCTGTTTTCTGCTGTACGGAAGTCTGAGGTATTCAGCTTCTGACTACCAACCAACTATACGTACATGTACAACAGTTCCTCCAGCTGATCGTAGAGGTCACGTCGCTGCCTGGAGTGTGCCGTGTGGTAGATAGGAGGCTGACCTAGGGCTGTCTGTGCTAGCTGGAACGGGCTGGGGTCGTGAGGAAGTGGGAATATAACGTCCAGCTCATGTATAGTAACTAGCTTGATTGTAGGTCCTACAACCACCTCACTGGCTACACCTTTCAGTAGGGAACATGTTAGCTGTGAACATCAAATAATCATTTATTGATGACAACTGGTGGCAGTGCAGTTGAAGCGTCTTGTGGAGATAATTTATAATTCTTTTTTCTTTGTTTGGTTTAAAGAAGTGACCTCTTTTACCATGCATTATTTGTCCGTCCACATAGGCCACAGAGGCCTGTGAGTGTAGCGTATCCAGCAAAGCAAGGGGTGAGCCAGTACAGTACAAGGGTGAACTTTACTGATAAAAAGTAGTAGTAGTGACCAGGATCCGAACCCACGACATCGCTGCCTTGGGCCCGAAGTCCGTGATGCTACCAACTGAGCCACCGACTTACCGAGTCAATAACTAAAAAGTTCTTTGTTCCAGAATTATAAAATAAATATTATTCGAGAAGTCAAGCTGTACAATGGTTAAATAAACATCTCTAATTCCTTAAGTAATAAGTACAAAATAATTTGACTGTTAAGTAATTTGTTTAACATTTTCCTTGATGTACAAGTAAGCACATTGCTGACACTATTAAGATTAAAACTTTCCATTTAGTTAACTGAGCTAAATTAACTGCTTTTGGATTTCATCATTTTACCTCACTTTTGTTTATTTCAATACCAAATGTGACAGATTTTAAATACACTTCGAATTTTCAGTAGCCTGATTCGAAACTAGTTAAAAACATGAATTTACCGTAAATATCTTTTAGAAATACAATTATAATAAGTTGTTGTCAGCAAAAACTATTTCAAACTTACCACAAACGCAGCTTTGTTTGGAAAACTGAGATATCTTTTTTGTCTCTTGATGGTTGGAAGAAGATTTTCACCTAGAACAAACTCCGAACACAACAAAGAAACAAACAGGCAAACAAATCTGTAGGAAACCATTGCAATGATGAAGCCCAACTGTCCATTAACACTAACTGTAGGTGCTAAGTAGCACACTACGGTTATGTCTATTTAAATTAGTAAGGTGACTGTTAATTATTAACAAGTTGTTACCAAATATATATAATCAACATCTTTTAATATCTCTGTAATTATGTAAAGATGGTGAATCCATGAATAAACAAATAAATTACCATATTTTTAGCTATTTGGATAAAACAATAAACCGGTTCAGTACGTCACCATTAATTTTTATACCTGAGATGATTCAAACTTAATGACAACAAGAGCCATGCAATGCATACATTCAAACGTATTATAGTAGTTTTAGATTATTAGTTGTATTTTTTCATGCCAGGATTTTTATATAAGGAAGTTTGTGTCCTTTTTATTTTTTATTCTGTGTACCTATACTTTGTGTGGTGTACTTTTTGTATAAAAATTTTTTGCGTGACATTTTTTTGCTTTATTTTTAAGGGCACAGTTTGAAATAGATTTGGGCTACTACCTAATCCCAACCATTTTTTAATTATAATCAAACGTTGTGAATACCACAAACAAACAAAATGGCAATTACTACCATAAGACATGACAGAACAAAGCGGCTGAAAACTGTACTATAAACTACCAATAATGTATATGGGCTGAAACCATGTAGGAAAGCTTTTAAGTACTACACTGCATCGTTTCACCAAAACTGTTTCGATTATTATCACAGAAGATAAGTATAATCAATGGCCAAGCGGTCAGTAGGGTATAAACTCTTCAACTAGGAGACGAGAGACAACACCATAGATTTAAGAGCTTGCATCTCCTCTCTGGTGTACTAATTCATGGGGAATTTACCTGACTTTTTGAGTATATCAACTTTTTTTTAACTGTTACATATGAGAACAACCCAAACCTTTGAGAGTACTAAGTGGCAGAGGCCCACCCAAAATAATCAATGGTCAGTTTCAGTGGAAATAAACAGGATAGGTGGATTCCCAGTGAGTAACATGTAGCACATTGAGGTAATTTTCACCTTTTCCTCATGTTGTGTGTGTGTGCGTGTGTGTCGAACAAAAAACTATGTAAGAAGAAATTGGGGTTTTAGGCACAACACTTGTACAAAATAATTCATATTTGAATGACACTCCAAGCAACTTGGACAATGCAAGATATTACTTTGGTGGAAGGAAACTTTGCACTTTACAGAACTGTTTTCAAGCAAACATTTAAAATTTACAAGAGCATCTGTTTTTTAGGTAGATGATATAATAGGTAGTTTTTTTTTTCTCATAATAGCCCAAAAAATCACCATTCACCATTGAGGACAACTTGTAAACAAGAGTATAAATGGTGAGAATAAAATTGTATGACGCTTAATACACATTTAATATAAAATTACAATCACAAAACACTGATTATAAAAATACCTTATTCATACACATAATGATGGTGTAAACATAAACATAAAATAGTGTAGTCACATAAAATGACAATAAATAATCTGAAAAATATAATTTGTTTGATTGTTATAGCTGCAGGATTTGTGTTGATCAATTATTGTGATGGAGTCTCTAAATTTGTTAGATTATTGCTGTATATTATTATGATAAACGGTAAAGTTTGTTGATTGTTGCTGTTAGTTGGTTGTGATGAACCCCAAAGTCCTCGTAGGTCAGGTGTTGTCATCGGAGTATTTTCTCTGATCTGAAGTCCCGGTGAAGTCCAGATCCAGGATTGAAGTAGGGCAAAGTGTTTTGTACTTAGCACAACAATTGTGATGAGCTTCGTCATAAACACTAGAGAAATCCTCTTCTGTGTCGTCGAACAATGGGAGCCTAAAAGAAAGCACTGATAAGAAAAGGAAAACATGGTATAGTTTCTAATTGTGGCAGTGACCTCAAACTTAAATCAATGTCTAATATATTGCTTTGAAAATTGCAAGACAGATTGTACATAACACAAAGGTAGATTGTGTAACCAGCAATGCAGATGAAAAATTCCCAAAAGAAAAAATATACAGTAACCAATAAAAATAAAACTACACTATACAGTACCAGAATGTGATGAAAATCTCTTATTATTTTTACTGAGTGCATTTAAATTTGTGCTATTTAATTTCATGAGTGTGTGATCGATTTACTAATTTTGTTATTCTTTAGGGTTTCGTTAAGGCTTTTGTAACAAGCGAAAATTCATGATTAGATACGGTAAAAAGGTTTTAAGGTGATAGAAATCTGTTAGCTTCCCCAAGAAAGTCCAGCCCCAGGTGCTAAATGCTAATAGACACACAACAAGTCACAAAAACATAACACTAACATTTCATCCTCTTCTTCAGAGATTAGTGTGAAGAGAAACGGAAAAAAAAATATTTGAAACAAATTTTGGATGGAAAGCAGTTTTTGTGAACTTTAGTGACAAATTATTAAACATTTTTTGGACGTAACATACTTGATATATTTAGTTATAAAATTTTAAATTAGATGCTAAGGGATGAAATTAATGACATGTTAAATAAATTCCCCAGATAAGTAGTTACTTACGAAAAAATAGAATGGAATATTTCTTCCATAAATGTTCCATTGCCTTTTGTCCGTTCTCTTGATTCACAAATTGCTCTGAGAATACACCCTCTTCCACTCACTCCATATCTGAAAAAATATAATAATTTTACAAAGTATGCGGAATTTTTTGAATTACAATCAACCCTTTCAATGTTTATTAAGTGTACAAGAACTGTATAATTTGGAAGTAAAGAAGGCTGTCGTTTATTTTACCATGCCATCTATTCTAGGTCTACAACAGTAGAACCCGTCATTTTTATATTCCACCACCATAGGACAAAGCCTCAGGCTGGATAAACCAACCTATATAAATTGTTGATAATCAATATGGTATCTAATAATAGTCAAAGATGGTGTTTAAGCAAATTTTGGGACTTTTAAAAATGCACATGTTTGTAAAAACAAAATAAAATTTATTTGTAAGAAAAAGGGGTTAAGTAATTTTATATTACGTTACTAGTCCTGAAAATAGGTGATTACCGAACAAGTGTGGTTGTTCCCATGCGAGACGAAGTTGAATGCGGGATTACCATACGAGTCCGGTAAACACATTTTGGACGAGTGACGTACAATATTTTACGCCATACTACACTAAGCTAACTTGACAACAAAAAATCTGTACAGATCCTAATATATTCCCACGGACTAAAGGACTAACAATTTTAAGTGAGGTCATGTTTATAACCACTCATTTCCAAATATAATCAGCTGGTTGGTGTCCGGTAAAAACTCATTACAGTACAGTAGTACGTAATGAAACACCATTTCATTAAGCTGACGGCAAACAGCGGTTTTCTGGACTAAATCCTTGAGTGGGAAGCTCGTTAAAACAGTGTAGTGTGGCATAAAACAATTACTGGTACTTACTGTCATAGAAATAATCAACCAATTGTTTGTAGTTTACACATACTAGCTTTACTGAGTAGTGTACACAAAGTCGCGGAGGTTAGTGCATGCAACTACGCGGGAAATACATTCCAAAATTGGCTTCCAAGAAATAACCGGATAAACCAAGGAGTGAGAAAACCAAGGCTGGATATCCACACTAAGTTACTACACCTAGTATGATGTTGCTTTTAAGACATGCCTGATGCCAAACAAATAAATGAGGAACTAACAAATTATATTTTGGATCAAACCCTTACTTGTCTAAAAAAGTCTCAATCTTGGGAAAGAGATCTCTTCTGTGACGACGATGGACGAAAGACATTGTTGCATTCCGTAGGAAAGGTCTGGGGTCTTGAGGTATCTCCCACGCAAGTCCGAGGGTTATGCCGATGGTAAATAGACCTCCTGGTGTACCATAAGCAGTGGTTAGGAAGCAGTAGACCATCTGTTGACCAAAACATATCAATTGTGTTGGAATTTTACATGTCAGGGTAATACAAGGCCAGTCCTGGTAACACAAACGCACATCAGCTAGGAACACTACACACACTAGGACAATAAAACTATAGAAAGATCAGCAGAATTCTAATGGTACAAATTTGATATCGTTATTATTGAGATTGTCTTTCAAATAAACATTCTAAAAACAGGATTAAAACTCAGAGTACATTGAAATTTTAGAGTTTGTCAAACATGTAAATAAGAAGGTCACGGGTTGGAGAAAAATTTAGTAGCTTTTTGATGGTACAGGACCCAGATGTCCTTGATTGGGCTTTTAGTAAATGGTCCTGTATAAATAAACAGGCGATCGCGGCAAAGTTCTGAATATTTCCCCCGGTTGTGAAGACAATGATTATCATCGTCTTCCATGATTGCGGCAATATATGAACATATCCCGTGGTCGTGGAGATTATCGTCAAATGAAGCAACATTCTGATAATTTCCCTCGGTCGTGTGGACATTATCATTGTCTTGGCCGATTGCAGTTAAGTTCTGATAATCCCTCGGGGCCGATATCATAATTCTCCCTCGGTCTTGTGGAGATCGTAATCGTTTCTCACAGTTGTGAAGACGTCGTAATCGCCTCCCACGATTTATCCCGCAGTCGTGTAAAGATTATCATTGTCTTCTGCGATCGCGGCAAAATTCTGACTGTTTCCCGCAGTCGTGTAGACATTATCATCGTTTTCTGCGATCTTGGCAATGTTATGATCATCCCTCGGGGCCGTGTGTAGACATATTATCGTCTCCCGAGGTCACGTAATGTTGTCATGCCCGATCGCGGTAAATTGGCAATTCCAGTTAGAAATACAACATTCACATATGCATAATTCCTGGTTCAAAAAAGTCCACGCATTACCTGGTCGGTGGTCACCCTTTTATAAATATTCCAAAGGGGCGCTACTATTAGTTGTGCCTAGGGCGCTGACATTGTCAAAAATGGGCCTGATTAACAGTAACAAAGCTACCAACGTCACACTCCTTTTTCATTCATAGTCAAATTATAGCTTAGTAGCGTCGCTATCTTTGCAATAACGTTACACCAAATGTAAGTACGGTAATACTAACTTTTTATAAGGAACAGCTTTAAGGTTACCTGTAGTGAGCTTCCTTTTGGGAAAATAATAAACCTTTTTCTCCTTGACACAACTTCATTTGTCTCAGAAGAATTCTTCGACGATTCTATTATTTGTTGCGTTGAAATCAAAGATGTCATCAGAATTATTAAAACAAGGTGGAAAATCTTCAAATAATTTTTCTGGAAAAAGATGTGGACACAATAAATAACAAAATTACCAGCTAAACTGTTTAAATAACACACTGTGAAAAAACTGTAGCTAAATGCAAATAAGTCTAAAACTCTTAGGAGTAAAAATCAAAAATTTTTGAACTTATTTTAAACTGAAAAGCTACCTACTTACCATACTGAAAAAATCCAAAAATAATTTAATGACTAAAAGATCAACAATAGATAAGTTTCAATGGAATTACACAACGGTACATGATGGGCAAAGTTGAACGACTGGGCTCTAGAGAGTTAGCGCTCGGGTGTTAAAACAGTTACGTGAAAATTACTGAAGACTGAGTAACGGAGATGAAATACAGTTCTAGACGTTGAGGAAAACAGGTTAAATAATTGCAATTGTACTATCTACTCAAAATTTTAGGTTTAAAGGTGTATTATGAGTCTTAGATTTCAAGCCACATTTGAGTAAATTGGTTTCTGGTATTTTGTATCACATGTAGGGAGTTTTAGAATTTATGTTACAAACTAAAGAACCGGTTATTTTGGTAAAAAAAGGTTATCATTATGTAACTAGGGATTTTACGTTACTCAGTATATGAGTCGAAAGGGGATTTTTACTACTAAATAACTTGTGTTTTTGAAATTATTTACTTCAATAACTACACATATTCATATACATTCACATTTAATAGTTTAAAACAATTGTTTAATCAAATCCCAACAAGCATTTTATGTTCCAACAGAGAAATTTAGTTATAGCTTTTAGGTTGAAAAAATTTTGTATTTAAGTTTTTTTTATCTAATATCTAATACCTAAATTTGTATTAAAATTAATCAGTCTTAAAGATGTTATAATATAATCATTTAAGTGTACATTTTTTCTGTGTCATTGGCAAACTTATTTGTTAATGCAGACGTGTATATTGTTATTAATAAATTCTTTTCTATTTAATTTACTTTCAAAAGTAAGATTTAAAATATGCAACTGTAGTTTTGATGCACAGATATTCAGAATAGTTTAGTATTGTATTTGTGTTTATGCTTTGAGTTGTATTGGTGAAACTATAAGATTTTAGCACTAATAAGGTTTATGTTACCCTGCTTCAGCGTACGATCCACAGTATAGATTTAGGAAACTACAGCTGTTTCATGCCTCTATTATTGGCACATCATCAGGTTTGTGGAACACCAGCTTCCTTATATATCCCTCAGCGCCATATCACGTTTCGCAGTCCATAATTAATGTTTAAAATGTTTCGTGTGTGTTCATCGTAAAACCATGACGAACTCGACACCGAGGGATGTATAAAGTTTGGTGTTCAACAAACCTGATGATGTGCCAATAATAATAGAGGCATGAAACAGCTGTAGTTTCCTAAATCTACCGTGGATCGTAGACTGAAGCCAGGTAACCTACACCTTATTAGTGCTAATTTTAACAATCCAGTGGCCAACCATCATGAAATAAGATTTTAGTCTGATATTAATCAGGTGAAAAGACAGATAATAACTATATAGCCTAAGGAAGCAATGCCATTGGTGATGTTGAAAAGATAAAATTAACACATATTGTCATTGCTTCCTTTTCATAATAGAGGACTTAACAAGCCAATAAAGATTACAATTTTAAATATTTTCAAGCAAAAGAATAAGAAGCTGGAAACTCCTACATGTTCAAGCAATATAGCCATTCTCGCAGCATGCTACAGAATCAACCTTAGTTGATAAAGGATAATGTATGCGTGAAGAGAGGCATTGAATCAAAATTTGCAAGTACTCACTCATTACATCACTCGATTTTTACTAGGGATGGTCAAGTCTCAAAATTTCGGGAAATTTTTGGGAAATTTTCAATCTCGTTACACGAGACGAGATTACTTTTTGGCCGAGATTTTTATCGAGACGAGAATAAAAAAAAAAAAAAAAAAAAAAAAAATTAAAAACGCCTGCAAAAAGTCAATGCAATACCCGCAATACAGGAGCGTGTTGTAGTTGCGTTTCCTTTTCGAAGGCGTTCTTATTTAATTAATTCTATTAATGTAAATATTACTTTAATTCTTTTAATGTAAATATTACTTTCATTATTTTAATAATATTACTTTAATAACATTTGAGAAGTTTTGTTAAGTGTAAGCAGTGTGAGGAATGTTTTATTACTATAAAAAAAGTCAAAACAAGTAACTATTTTATAAAAATTAATATTGCTTTTATTTTATGATTTATTTTATTTTAGGATAAGTTGAACTCTATCCTAACTGATATCACCATGTTTCCTAATCGTAGGCATTTTTAATAAGTTAGGCGTGATTAATAAAAAAATGTTATGCTGATGTTATTTAATGAAAGATTGTAAATATTCTTGCCTATTATCATTATTTTAGTATTTAAACAGTCATCTAACAATGTTACAAAATCAGGTAAAAATTTTGAACGTGCATTTCCCGTTGTGTATGAGAAGAGAAATCTCGTCTCGAAATTTTATGAGAAATAAAAAATCTCGTCTCGAAATTTTATGAGAAATAAAAAATCTCGTCTCGTCTCGTCTTGAACTAAAAATCCAATCTCGTCCATCCCTAATTTTTACTTATTGAATTTTTATGATGAATATTTGACTTAAAATAACTAAAACATTTTACCACTATAGTGAATTGGAAGAATTAATTAAAATTAAGTGTTTCTTCCGTAGGACTATTCCATATACGAGGGTTGATTTTTAAGGGCCGTTTTTGCATTAGCTTCGTAGTTTGCATGTAGGCTGCAACTAAGCTCCTTGCTACTTTTGTCACTGGCATCTTTTGTGAACAGAATTTCGCAATTTCAACACAAGTTCAATGAAGTGTAAGCTTCACTGTACGCATAGAACATTTTTTACAATTATAGGATCTGCCACCAAATTGTTTAAAGCCCTATTTTACATGTGACAGTTGTCACACCAGTTGGCCAGAGACACATTGTTTACTATAATCAGTGATACGTTTTTGACCACAAGTAACATATCCAATGTCGATACCAATTTGTATAACAATCAGAAAGTTGTGAGATTGATCCTGAAAAAGGCAGTTGTTGTTTCACCCTGGACCTAGCAATGTTCATTGGATTTTTTATCAATGATGCTGACTAGAAACAGCTAATCTAAGTCAGTAAAAAAGCTACACGGATCATCTTACTCTATTCTACACCAAGCCTGTATTCATATTCTGCTAAAAAAAAACCTCTCTGTCTTGGTAAAGTGGTCAATGATCCTTTAGCTATTTAGATATATTAAACTGGGGTTTTTCAAGGCACTAAAGAGGAGAGTACAGTCCGCTCTTCTCTAGTCTTAGGTACTGTATCCTAAAGACAGAGCAGACCACCACTGGACGAGCGGAAAATCGCTTCCTTGCTTTCCACTTCCGCACCTAGGAAAACCCAGTTTTATGTAAAAGTTAAAGTACAATCCTACACGTTTTGGCAAAGGTATAATTAAGGTTCCACAACAAACAAATAAACCGTTATTTTAATAATCAATCATGAATCCATTGTAGACTTTTCTTCACAGCTGTCAAGTCGTGGGTCCTGATAAAGCATGGTCTAGAAGATGCAGCAAAGACACAGGGCAATCCACTTCCTCAGGACAACCGTAGTTTGCATTTTCCGTAGAGCTAAAAAAGAACGTTACAGATTTGGTCAATTGTTGTATTTGTTCCTTGATACTTTTTTTGTTATACTGCAGCAAAAACTGCTGTTTTCAATGTGTTTCCAAAAGAATAAGCAACGAAAAAGAATTTAGTTAAGAACGTTGTAACGAGTTATTTTTCCTAGGGGGGTAAATTTTCGCTATTTGGCCGCGCACCGGTTGTTGAGGTAGGCAGGCGGCGGCGGCGAAGCTACCTAGCGCCCTTTGACCCGGCTTATCAGTTCCGATAAGCCTGGGATATCCTAGATCTTCAGGACAGTATAGGAGAAGGACATTCGAGTGGTGGATCCCGTGGAGTGAGTGAGGATAGCGTGTGTCTAGTGAGACGTCCAGTGGTGTACGTAGAGAGGAGTGCTGTGGTGACATCGGTGTCGTGTGAGGTTGGTGCTCAAGGAGTGAGTGTCGGCATTCAAGTTGGGTAGTGAAACAGTGACCCACTTGGGGTGAGTGGACGACGTGTTATTATATTTTGGTTTAAGAGAGTTAGAGAGTTAGAGTGGTAACCGTGCTGGTCGAAGCCTGACGGTAGTTAGGATTTATTAGTCAGGAATAATATTAAAGTATATTCCTGACGGTTCTGGGCAGGTGCTAGAGCGCAAATAATATAATTTAATTGACTGTAGTAGATATTATTTTGCGTTGTACCTAGAGTTAGTTATATTACTAATAACTCTGAGGCCCGACAAACCTAGGCTGCACGATTTAGCGTGCGTAGTTGGAAGCACGAGGCCAGCAGGCTAGTAGCTAGTTTTATTAGCCTATTAACAGAAGCCCAGCTAAGTAACATAAAGTTGGTAGTAGCAGTAGCAGTAGTAGGGTTGTTATTGGTTATTCATTTGATTATTTTAATTTAACCTGAACAGCTTGCTTAGTAGTCCAACACGTTATCTTGGTAGCTTGGATAGCGGAGTACCGGCTATCAGATAATATATTTATCTAGTGTTTGGAACGTATTTAATATTTATTTATCTGCTACTAAGTAGCTCAATATTTTAATAGTGCAATTGCCATTTAGTTTTGCTTGTTTGGCTTGGTATTTATTGAGACCAGCTACTAGTGGTGTAGTCACTCTACCTATAGTGTACTTGTATATTATTATGTGGTACGATTATTGAGTGAACTGTTTGATTCTTAGCTTGGGCATTAGAGTTGTGTATTGGATTATAGTAGCCTAGTGGACCCCGCCTGGTGATAACACGCGTTGTGGTTTTTATTGGCAAGTCGTCGTGTAACTCACCGTGTTTTAGGCACTCTGGGCTTAACTATTGGATAGTTAGGACGAAGCCCGAGTTGC